CGTACAGATGGCTCATACCCACTATAGGATCAGAGCTCAGGTGGGCGGTTGGTTGGTTGGTCAAACCTCAATGATAGCCCGGACAGACGCGGCTAGCACGCAGTTGGCTCCTCCCAGGTTGGGACGTGTATATATAGAATAAGCCTGACCGCTGACTCTTCGGACGGCCCAAAGCTGATCCCCGTCGTTTGGCTTATGATGGTGAAGAACCACTTGGCTTGTTTGGCTGGATCACTTCCCAGTAAGAAAGGCCCTAGCCAAAGCATGTGCTCTAAATTAGCTACCTCTCCACATTGAGGGCACGAGCTGCTAGTGTAGGTATGCAGCACAAACTTAAAGGAGCTCAAGAAACAAAAAGATCGGACTTGAACCTAGTGTGGCAGTCAAGAAAAAAATAATTGAATTAGTTTTAGTGTGCAATGAATATTCACCACACGAAAAGAAAATTTAATCTTGAGGCTGAAACATATATCGCCATGTTTCGGGATTTATTCGGTTCTTCCTCAAGAGCTGTGTGAAGTGATAAAAAAACGACATTATTTTTGGCCTCCCCACCATCACGTCGTGAAAGCCATGCGTGCACACTGTACACCGAGAAGATTACAAGTTCGTGATGTGGTAGATTTGAAATTAACTACGATTGATGGAAGGATTCCTTAGTTTGAAGACTCTTCCATGGAATCGGGCACATTTATGTCGAAGATATTGCTGAACAATCGTTTCAATTAAAAGTATTGGTGATGCTTATAACTGTTTAAGGTTGTGAAAGTGTACATGAAAACTATAGTCAGTTGAACCCATAGCGATTCCATGTGGGATGAAGCTCTGAGCCGCTGTGACGTATAGGGACCGTGCAATTGAGTTTTAACACCGGAGCTGTTTGTGCTCTGCTTACCCGCATATGGCGCTGGCTAGAACTATCATCATTATGCCAGCGCGCTCTTGCTTCGTCATCACATTCACCTTCTGCTTCTCTCCCAGGAGACGCGCGCCGCTGTCAAAAGAGAGAGATCAAGGCAGAGAAGGAGTGAAAGGAACAAAGAAAAAATAACGAGAAAGAGGAATAGATAGAATGGAAAAGCGAGAAATAGCGAGATTGAGATAACAAACAAGGAACATGACGGGAACGTAAGCGTAAAATCATGGAACGCTGCAGTCACGTGACACGTTTTCGCCAACGAAATTAGGTAAAGTAACGTTAGGCAGCTGAGTTGTTTCCGTTAAACCCACGTCGTTTAGGCGGGGCTTGGAAAGCTTGGAAGGGCAGGTTCTTACCCGGAAATCAAAAACAAGCTCATCGGTTGGTTCCATCGTTGCACCACTAGAATGTAAACTTTGCGCATTCTGAACTCGATACCATCGGAGAGCTCGTTTCACAAAAAAAAAAAAAAAAAAGTGTCAGTGTCGTTGGTTGTGGGCGGTAACTCAGCGTTGTCCGTGAATGGAAACAAATAACAAAAGTGCTCTGTTCGAGCGGGATTCGAATTCAGGCCTGCCTGGCAAGCACGTGTTCTACAGCGGTACCACGCCAGTGCTCGAAACGACATCATAAAGGTAAACATTATAAGAATGTCATGCAGGGGGAGGAGTCTCCATAATGCATGCGATAAAGCGTCATGTTATGCCATACTATTATGTTAGTCATGTTATGCCATACCAAGTTTGGTATCGATGCCATCATCCAAACGGCCAGGAGAGCTAAAAGCCGTAGGCGGCTAGATAGATAGATAGATAGATAGATAGATAGATAGATAGATAGATAGATAGATAGATAGATAGATAGATAGATAGATAGATAGAAAGATAGATAGATAGATAGATAGATAGATAGATAGATAGATAGATAGATAGATAGATAGATAGATAGATAGATAGATAGATAGATAGATAGATAGATAGATGCGCTCAAAGTCACCGAAGTTTGCTAAGAAATGCTTCGCATAAAAAAAAACATCCATTTTGGTTGAATGTACACTTTCTAGCTTTCACACCATAATGCTACAGTAGGGTTCATTTGGCGAGTACTTGGGTGTTACAATTTTGATCAATTAAAGGCAATAATGCACGTGTCATACTTCACGCGTGAAAACGAATGTTAGTTACGATGTTGGTACGACCCTCGTGACATCGAAGGATCACCCCTAATCCACGAGTTGAAGGTGCAGTAACTGAATTCGCGAAAAGAATAGCTTATTAGAATTCTCACAGTAAGATGGTGTCGTACTCAACCACTCAGATTGGGTATTCACGATGTAGATTCGGGCTTCATTTGTGCCTCCGGGGATAATCAAAGCGAGCAATTATGTTCACACGACTATCCATTCTCACCATTCCTAATGTCACAGGGAGTTTCGGTAATTTGATTCTCTCCGATTTCAGGCGCTTTCAGGCGGTAGACATGGGGCAGCGCATAAGGGATAAAGCGTTGAAAACTGTACAACCCCGTCAAGGAGTCAACCGTTTAGTGGCTTCCGAGGGAGGAGAAAGAACCTTGCATCGACCATGGTCACAGTGGAATCGCGTAGACCGTAATCCCGCCTTCCAAGAACGCGCCACTTCGCCCCAGTGAATGAGCGCTCAGCAACAACGCATCACACGACACGCGGTGTTAAGTCATCGAGTCATCTGCTTGCACATTGACCCACGCGGTGGTGAACGGCCTCGGCGCAAAAAATACGCGCTCCTCCGTTTATCGTAGTAATAATAATAATAATAAGAGGGAGAGTAAAGCCTATCGTGTCCTGCAAGCGACGTACGGAGGAGTGGCGAGTGAATTGCCGAAATAGACCCTTCGCACCCCCCGCCGACATTCACCGACAGCGGCGGCTGCTCTCTTCCGCGACCACGGCCGCGCGCGCGCGCTTCCCGCCGCGTTAAGTAGTGGAGCACGGCAGAGTATCTAAACAGCATTGGCGTGAGGCTCTTGCAGTGAACTACCGCATTGTGGCGCTGCTGCTTCGAACCCGCAAACTTCTGACACTATAGAAGCGTGCGATAAGCAGGAAACGTACGCTGCGCGCTGTAATTTCCACGCGTACTGGCATCCGTGGAGAACGAGCATAGGGGGGGGGGGGGGGGGTATACTTGGTATTCCGAGTATCTTTGTATACATTAGCAATAAACTTCACATCTTCAATGCAACATGTCAATGTAAAGTCAGGTGTCAAGGGGATACAGTACGGTAGCTGTAAAGTACTAAATTATGTAGGGCGTGCAAAAAGAAGCAAGTGCACCAGAATATAGATCAAACAAGATCAGTCGAATGGACCGCTGTCTAGGACTACTGCATGATTTTTCATTTATCTCTCAAGCTTCTTTAATATCCTCAGAGTTTCAGCCCCATATTTTGTAACATGCAGCATACAATGTGCACTTTTCCAGCTTCAACTGCGCCCACCAGCCTGTCATGATTTGAGAACACCATCCTGGAAACTGCAAAAACTTATGTCATTGAAAACTCATATCTCGGTATGTAAGTATGCAGGAAAAGTAAATGCGCTCTTCTCACGCGGCTGTTATACTCTGACCTCGGCCCCAAGTTTCCCTAGTTTTTCGAACCCCAATTTTTTGGAAGTAACGCACAATTCCAGTAACTAGCACAAGCAAAACATATACCGAAAATAGCATTAGATAGAATGCTACAAGAGCTTCAATACACGTGATCTTCATTTGAGTATCCCTAATTACGAACAAATATGTACTAATTTTTCCTCTAGTATGGTTAAAGCATGAATGTTTGGTGTCCTTGAAGTTAATGGTGTCTCTCCATTACGATTTATCAGCACACCTGTTTACTCACTACAAACTGGCGAACGTCCGCAAATAAACTTTTAAAGTGATATTTACACCCATCTAATATATATATATATATATATATATATATATATATATATATATATATATATATATATATATATATATATATATATATATATATATATATATAGCGAGAAGTGTATACCTAAGGGCGCGCGTTTTTTCCGTGTTTTAACACAATCTTCATGAGATCTAACAGACAACAATGCCAAGGAATATATAGGGGAAGTTATTAGAGACGATGTAATGTAAATAAGAAGAAAGAAAAGTGGCTGAAAAAATAAATTGCCGTGAGCAGCATATACATATATATTTCAAAATTAGGCAACTCAAGCAGAACATTTTACAAAGCACAATGAACGAGAGAAATCAGAAGCTTCTCGTCTGTCGAACTATAGCTGTTTCCTATATGAATATCTGCTACGATTCCTTCGTTCTCCACATTGCTTAGCGATTCTTCTTCCTGCACCACGAAGGACGTTAATTACGGTACATCTGCCACAATCGTGACACCCCGCTTACAAAAAAAAAAAAAACAGGCGCAAAGTGATGTGCCTGGAACTGCAATAAAAAGACCACAGCGGTGGTATACACAGACGAGCGCGGAATCAAGGACACATCATTCGTGTTTTATCTAATCGTGTTTCAGTAACGATGAGTCTCATAATCGTGTTTCAGTGACACCATAAGACTAGTAATACCGAGTTAATTAAGAAATAGGGTCCGACAAACCAAGAGTGCGAGAGACGAGCGCAACTTTCCACGGCGAAGAGAGTTTATAGGTTTACAATGATAGCGCCTCTAGCGGCGTCGCCACGCGGAAGTCTCGCGGTTTTTCACACACACACGTGTTTCTCCACTATTATGTATTCTTATTCTATCCGCGCCCGTCACGTGGGAGAGGAGAGGCATTTAGGGAGCGTGGTGGGGAGGGAGGCGCGCTTTACTCTGGAGCCGTCGCGCAACACGACGCAACCGCGCGCCGAAGAGCGAGCTCCGAGCGGCGTATGCGCGCTGATCCAAGTGCTTCTCTGCTCCAGCTGTGAAGGAACGCGCGGTTTGGACGCGCGCGCCGTGTGTGTCCGAGGCCAGCGGTTGACGCGGCGTAGCTGGGCCGCTCGCTAGTTTCTACGTTCTCTCGGCTAGCCAACGGTGCCCTTGGGCATCGGCGGTGCTGGTTCTGAAGCCCGGCCAAGCCACGATGGAGAAGGGCGGCGCCGCATCGGAGTCCGGCTTCGTGGAGCGACGTCGCCGCTCAGCAACAGCGAGCCGACGGCGTGCCCGTTCACTTCGTGTCGGTTAACAAGGTTCCGACGCAGGTGATCTGCTACGGAGACCCCGGAAACCTGGCTCTGGACGCCGCCAAGCCCGTGGTTCTCGTCATTCCAGGTGCGCTTTCTCCGCGTGTGTGTTTGTATCGCGCGCGAAAGGGCGCGAGGTTGAGGAGGCAAGCGCGTGAACCAGCCCATCCCCCCTACTCGCGTGCGCATGGGAGCGCTTTCTTTCGATGGTACAGAGCAGAAAGTCGATTGCGCATGCGCGCCTTTTATACAACGGCGGGTGATTTGAATTCGGTTGCGGCTACGCCCACCTCCGTGTTCCGGAGCGTGCCCTCTCGTCCTCCCTCGCTTTCTGGCGCGCCCGTGCGACCATGTGGGTGCAGGAACGTGGATGGCAAGCCGCCCAGGTGCTATACGCGAGTGACGACCCAGTAGTTGAATTAAAATTTAGAATGTGGTTTCGAATTTATTGAAGTGGTATTTACCAGCGAAGCATACGAAAATACGCCAGGCCTGCGCGGAAGGCGCAGCACAGTCAGAGCGGAAGCTAGAAGAGCAGCCTTTCAGAGCCTCTTCTATACACTCATTCGATAAATGCTGCCAACACGCTTGCTTGATACCCACTATAACATTAATAATAAAACATTTCTGGGTAGTAGGTCGGCATTCGCTATGCTATTTTTCGTCATTCTTCTGAGAAGCGTGGTATCCGCTAGACACGTGCAAGGAATTGTGTGCCAATTGTTCATGCAGTGGGTGACGACGATGAGGAATTGTGGCTGAAGTGGGTATGCGCCACAGTTAATGGGGGAACAAGAACACGCTTTTGTAATTGGTTGGAGCATCGGACGGCCCACTCGTTACGCTATTCGCATCGTGCGACGACTGGTTGTTCTTTCGCTGTTTTAACACGCTCTATAAGTCGTATTAACGCGATTGCTTTCCCGACATCAAGCCTGCCTCAGGCAAGTTTGCCAACAAGTCCCAAGCACCGCCATTGCTCAGTTGTAGTATACTGGGCTGGCACCCAGCGGACACGGGTTCGAGCCCCACTGTGCCGTTGGTGCTAGGTCACGCCTGCCTAAGGTAAGTTTAACAAAAGTTTCGAGTACCGGCTTAACTCAGTGTTAAAGTATTAAACTGGTACCCAGTGGACCCGGGTTCATGCCCCACTGCGTCATTGGTGCAATGTTTTTTTTTTTCTTACGCGCGATGTGGTTACGGACACCGGCGGCGGCGGCGGACAACATGCAACTGCGCGTGACCCGAAAAGTGATCTCATAACAGCTTTCGCTCTAAAAAATCCGCCCTGTATTTGTGTTCCTTTGAGTCTCCGCCTAGTCCTTATTGCGCTACGAGTATGATTGCAAATGACATGAAACAATGTTCTCGCTCACAATCTCCCACCGACATGGGTATTACGGTAGATCTACCGTCACAAACATAGATGCGCGGGTGCATACACGTTCCCAAATTTTGGCCAGCCTCGCGGGAAAGATGTTGCGGCCAGCAGTTAAAACCTTTACCAATTAACAGATCCTGTAGATGTTTCAAACAGACGACGTGGCAAATGGAACTTGAGAACATCCCGCAAGACGCAGTCGAAGAGTACAGCTAACAGGTGACCTTTTTAACGCCTCGAACTTGCGTCCTCACGCGAGCGCGCGAGGCAGCGCGAAAAGGAAAGAAAGGAAGGAAGTTGGGAGGAGGAGCTATGTCAAATCGCACGGCGGAGGCTGCGGCCGCCGCTAGTTCAAATCGACCGCCCGATCAGAGCCGCGCATGCGCCTATCAACTTTCTGCGCAGAACCGCTGAAGGAAAGCTCTCCTGTGCTTACGCTTCGCTTAGCTACCACGCGGGAAAGGTCGGGAAGCGCGCGAAGGGCAGAGAGAGAAAGGAAGTGATGAACGCGTAATTCCGGTAAACGCCCGAGCATATAAGATCGATAAGCTAAACTCTAAACGGAAACACAGTTGCATTTCTTTTCTCCCTTTTCTTTTCAACGGGAGAAAGAGTGCGAGGGAGAATATTGGACGACGCGAAAGAAACGTGATGTTATAAATATAGTTGGAAATATTTTTCATGCTGTACGGCACCTACAGTGTGAACAATTTTTCCTACGTCGGGTCTCTCTCTTGTCGACGTGCTCACGAACGTGGAGAAAGCATGAAGAATAGGGTAAAATATATAAAGTGCGACTCTTGGAACGCGTATTCTTGTTCACTCCCGTATTGACTATCACCATCGCTGTCTCACTACCGAAGCGTCAATTAGTAAACCTTTTTACGTTTACGGGTGTGGTTTGAATAGCTTGAAGCGCTTGTCTGTGTCTTCTCTGAGTGTGTGTATTTTTGGCGCTTGTCTCATCATGAACCGTTACCAACACGTCCAACTGGCAGTCATCCTAAATTGAATAGCTCGTCGTCCAGTCTTGAATGTCCGGAAAAACGAATCAGGTCGGCTTTTGAATTCAGTCTCCACAGAGTAAGAGAGAGAAGGCATGCAGTCATAAACTAGCTGAGGACGAGCAATCAAAATGTTTTCCACGAGCAGCGTTTATTTGCCCTCTTGCCGCAATTTCGACTGGTCTCCTTGATTACGCGCATTTGCTTTTCGGCGCCGTTCTTCTGCTGTGCTAATTAACTCTAGCTTTTTTTCTCTCTCTGGTTTTTTACGCTCTTAAAAAAGAGAGCACCGTACGGCAGTCTTGTTCGGGCAAAACACGCCCAGTGCCACTTCAATAATGACTCGGAGCTTAATTAAGAAGAGACAGTCAGCCCCCGTTTTTCATTTCGCTAGAGCGCGTAGATACGTGCCAATCGTAGCTCAAGTGAAATGTACGTAAACACTCCCGACGTATGGAGCAGGCTGCGCACCAGTAAATTTATAAAAAAGAACGAAGCGATAGGTTCTTCAGCGGCTCTGCTGAAACGTTTCATAGAAGTTGTTGGAGGTCAAAATGGAAAATAATTAGTAACGTGTTCAAGCAACTTTATACTTATTCTTGTTAAAATTTATTCTTGTTGAATGAAATGCGATGAAAACGTTGCAGTGAACAAAGTGAGAGAAAACGAATGTCCCAGGTGGGCGGGCCTATGAGACGCATTCCTATGCCTTAGCGCAATCTATACGTATCGCACTATTAAACTAACCAATTTCTCTCTCTCTCTCTCTCTCTCTCTCTCTCTCTCTTTGTTTTTCCATAAAAATTTGATGGGCAGGCATTATTTCGAATAATTTAAGTGCACGTTGTTATCCGAGTTTTCGAATATGAAGTGCGTAGTCGCTCACTGCTATTCGTTTTGTACTCGTTTGAAGAACTCACTGTACGAAATTTTTCGAGCTGTGTTCGAATTTGCTTGATAACCTCGGATTAAACACTTGTTGGAGCCTCTACGGATAAATGTGTTGATGCAAGTGAGAACTGCTGCTTCTGCTGACAGCAGCGTATAGTCACTACACGCAATCACCAGTTCCTGAGCGAACGCACTCGAAGGATGACCCTATGTCAGGTCGTTCTGTGGGAACGTCGTACTTTTTATGAATCTTATGCACATGGTTGTCGTGCTTATATTTCAACATAATTACCTACGTATGTGTGGCGGAAACAAACACTGTCTGTAATATATGTTGTTAACAACAAAGAAATCTTAAGAATTGTTAAATTAGTTTGTACGATTACAAAACTACCCCGTGGCTGTTTCGTCGCAGGCAGTTGCCAAGAACGAGAACTTAGCAGATAGTAATGAAACTGTCAGACGATATGGTGATTCATCACACTAAAAACAGCGCAAACGTTGCAGCATGGGATGCTCGTTGATAGTGTCATCGTGTGTGTTGCTTCTTCGTCCCATGCTCATGCTATAACGTTCGTGCTGTTCTTAGCGTAGTTAGCAAAACGAGCCAGTAAGAGAGAGAGAGAGAGCACTAAATCGTGTTATGAGACGTGCAGAGATGCATATATGCAGGGCCTTTAGGAGGCGTAGGCAGGGCATATTTCCGTGGATTGCAGGGTCGTAGCCAGAAATTGTTTTTCGGAGGGTGCGGGGGGATCTACCATACTTCATGTATGTTCGCGATTGCGTTTGTATGTGTGCGCATATATATACGCAAGCGAAATCGAAAAATTCTGGGGGGGGGATGAATGCATCCCCCCTTTGGCTACGCCCATGGTGGATTGTGTCTGTTTTGCTCTGCAGTGAATGCAGATTGGCAACGATGAACATCAAAACCTTGAAGTAGAGTTTATTCCCGTATGTCTCGTGACGGCGATTAATGACCTTATCTTTTGTGTACAGCAACAGGCCTTGTATATTGTGCCCCATTATTCTGAGATTATCGTGATGGCATAAATGCTGTTCACTGTTCAGAAAAAAAAAAAAAGCGTACTGAATTGGTTGGCATAATCGGCTCACTAAGTCGGCTGACATAATTGCCGCTTATCACTGACAGCCTATTAAATCGACAGAGTCCGATGTATACCAGCCGTAGAGTGTGATTTGTGTGCATTTGATTGATCTATATGGGGGGTTTAACGTCCCAAAACCACCATATGGTTATGAGAGGCGCCGTAGTGGAGGACTCCGGAAATTTTGACCACCTGGGGTTCTTTAACGTGCACCCAAATCTGAGAACACGGGCCTACAACATTTCCGCCTCCATCGGAAATGCGGCCGCCGCAGCCGGGATTTGATCCCTCGACCTGCGGGTCAGTAGCCGAGTACTTTAGCCACTAGACTAACGCGGCGGGGCGTGATTTGTGTGCAGTATGCAAACGTATGATCATTAAGTTAAAGTCATGTTTCGTTGGCCCTAAACGCCTGTCCAAACGAAGTCCTTGGCTACGAAGTGATTTACAATATGGCGGTTTTGACGCGAACGAGAGCTAAAAGTTAATAATGAATTTAGCACGAAATTAAACAACGAGAGGCGTGTCTCGAAGTCAATTTCTGCGCTGCTTTATGAATTGCGCTAGCACGTACGTGGGGAAAAAAAAGTCGGGCATGTTTTCTTCCTCTCTCTCTTTTTTCAAAATAAAAGCGGAGATTTACCAGTTCTGACAGCGATATCGATCCGCATTCTACCGGAGGACGAACAAGCAGTTTATT